GCTGTGCAAGAGCGCTGGCCCACTGCTGGTCTCGGGGCGGCGCTCTTCCCCCGGCAGGGCCACATCTGTTGAGAGCAGAGACCTTCCTCCTGCACCCTAAAGGGTGCTGTGAAATCTGCACAGCAGATGAAATGTTAAGAAGTTACCCTGAAAGTTCAGGCCCCCGAAGTGTAGTTCCCGACACAGCACCGAGGACCCGTCCGTGCAGGCAAGAGCCACAGGTAATTGGAAATGCCCACAGGAGAGAATGACCCCGGACAGGTCCCTCACCTCCCTCTGCCCGTTTCTATAGTTTCACCTCAAAGGGACACAGAAACCCAATGCCAACATCTCTCTCCTGCCTTGAATCCGTTCTAACTAGCTCTTTACCGGGGTCCAGAAGACAAAGACCAAATTTATTTGGTCTCTCTTTACCAGGGATCCAGCTGCCGAAATAAGGGCTCAGAGACTTGGCCATAACAACCATGGTCAGCTAAGGAGAGAGTGTTCCCCCAGTCCTCGCCTTCCCCCCCCCCCAAAAAAAAAGAGCCCATTAGAGAAACTAGAAGTCCCTCCCTTCTGAAGGCCAGAGTGTGTTTCCAGTCCGCTCACGCAGTGCATCAGATTCAGAGTTGGGCCTGTGGTGCTGGGACACAGGAGCGCCTGCTGGTGACGTTCACCAGGACTGAAACACAACATATGCTGTAGCTCTTAGTTTGGAAAGATGATGCTTCCATAGAGTTCTTAGGGGACATGGTTGAAGACCAGCCTTGGCAGAGAGAACTCTCTGTTCTGTAGAGAGAGCCTGCAGAGTTCTCATTTCATCCCGTTGAACAGCTGGAATGGTGTGCATGTGAACAGGGTGTCGAGCCTGATCATTTTCCGTGGCAAGTAAAGCAGAGGCCTCTACTGCGGCAGAAGTCCTGTCACAGCCAGGGTCTGAAGGCCAAGGGCCTCCGGTGAGGCCAAAGCGGACACTCACGATGAAGAGCCCCACTGGTAAGACAAATACAGAGAAGAAAACCAGAAAGAAATACTCTGGAGACAGCTCAGGAGTACTTGCAAGAAGCTCCCCTTGCCTCAGCAGGACGCAGAGGAGTGACTTGGATTCTTGAATTGCCAGGGGTCAGGAGATTTGGCAATGTGGGCCCTCGGCACCCTTAAACCTGAGGCAAATTTTCCGCTACCTTCCCCTCTTCAGATGTGAGGTCCAGCAAGATTAACCAACGGCATCATTCCACGGGGGATGGAAGCGCCCCCAGAGACACGCGCTTCAGTGTATGTTCATTAAGACGAAAAGTTCTTCCACTTGTCGAGTTTGGTTTGTTTTTCACCTTAAAGCTAAAATCACGTCGCGGAACCAGGACTTTCTGAAAGCTGGGAGGATATAAAAAGACTGACCCACAGTCTGCGGCCCACCGTGTGGAAGGAGGCGGAGCCTGCGGCCCCCAGTGCCTCACTGTGTGTGCGAAGTCGCACGCTCTGCATTCACGGCACGTTCGCTCGGTCTCTGGTCAAGGCCAGGCGGACCGGTCAGGTGCCTGCAGGCTCCAGTGCACCTCCCCGCCCTCTGCCTCCCCGTGAGGCATGGGATGGTGACAGCACCTTCCCTCTGCACAGACACGTGTGCGTGCCAACCAGGTGCACACTCACCCACAGTCTTTTTCCATGTACATGTCGCGTCTTTATCTGTGTTTTAATTAAGACAAACTTCTGCTTTTCACCTCTGTGCTGTGAAAACCACTGGAAAATGAAGGTAATTTTTTCATTTGCATCATCCAGAGTCAGGTAGACATGACTTGCCGTTACCACTTATTAGCATGTTAGAATATGTAATCGCACTTCTGCAGGTGATTCTCAGAAATCATCGAGATAATTTTTGAAACTGTCATCTGGGCCTTGTTTTATCCTTGAAATTTCAAAGATGGGTGTGATGTCCTTTTGTGAGGATGGCTGGGTTTTTCGTAGGAACTAAACGGACAAGATCATTGAAAAAGAAGCCCCTGACGTGCCCTGTGAGATATTTCTGCTGACCTGTTTCAGTGCCCAGGGTGCACCCAGGGCCCAGGCCCTGGGCAGCGTAGGCACCATGGCTCTTGCCCTCGGGAAGCCGCAGCCTGGGACGGCAGAGACGTGTCGCTCCTGTGCCCAGCAGAGAGTGTTTAGCGCTCTGGAGCGTGCTGGCTGTTCAGAGGCGGAAGCTGTTGCTGCGGCAAAGGAGATGGAGTAGAGAAGCCTCTGGATGACCATCCCGGGCAGGAGGGACCACTGTGGAGTCTCTGAATGTTCTAGCCGGACAGGAATGGGGGCCGCCCACCCGAAGGAAGCAGGGTGCTGGCGAGGCAGAGCCTATGCCCCGAGTGATGCATGAGGGACCAGCTCCTACGCGCTGAGCCTCACCTCTCCTAACCCTGAAATAGGTCATGGACGCTGCTTGGAGGTGAGGTGCAGGAAGCGTGTGCAGGACTCCTCGGCCAGGCGCACGAGAGTCAGCAAGCTGCGCTCGGGGAAGTGTAGGAAACAGATTTGGGACGGATGCCACTGGTGATTTCAGGAGCGGGTGCTCTCAAATGCCTCTGCTCAGGCGGAGGGGAGTGACTTCGCAGAAGGACATTTCTGGGCCCAGCGTGGACCTTCCTCCGTTGCTGAGCGTGTCCTCTCTGGCAACGGTTTCGTGCACACCACCTCGGTGGCCTGAGTCTGAGGTCTTCCCTTTGGACTTTACAGTAAACAGAAGAAGCATCAGTTCCTGGAAGGGACTTGGGATAAAACTGCAGCCCTTCAAGAGTGTGAGGGTTGCCCAAGACGGAAGAGCAAAGGTGTGGGCTTCAGACAGCTGAGTGAGGGCCTGCTTCTGGGGTGCACAGGGACGTCACTTCTGAGCTGCCTGCCCTCCAGGCGGAGGACTCCCCAGGCTCATGGTACGGGGGTGCTCGCGGCAGCACAGTGCCGGGGAACCAGCAGCCATCGGAGAGGTCGGCACAGCAGAATGTCCGCGTGGCAGATGAACCCCACATTGTCACCATTAGTGGGGTCTCCTTATCTTCACATCCCCGCAGGCTTAAAATGCAAAAACTGTCCAGGACCCCACCACCACCTGTTACCTTGTGTCCTGCTCGTTCTTGAGTTTGTTTGATGTATTTATTCTTTCTCTGTTTTTCCCTTTTCCTTTTCTTTTTCGTACCAGAATTGCTTCTTTGCTCAGTCAGCCCTCAAGTGTATTTTGCCTGTAACACCACTTTATTGTTTAGAGGTCAGTCATACATCTTAAAAGTCTTCTGAACTCTTTAAATCTTACAAAGGTGTAAATCTGCACTTCCTAGAATCGAGCAGTGTTTTCCACGTACCTCACTTGAACGCGTATCCTACCAGCCGGGGTTTTGTGGCATCGGTCTGTATCTCATAATACAGGGCAAGAGGTGGTCTGCGTATTTCTCACTACGAAATTACAGTATGGAACATTCCTTTTGAAACTTAACGCTGTCTTCCCTGCTGTTTCTCCCTCTTCTCCAGTTGTTCATGATCCCCCTGAGTGAGATACACAGTCTTCCTTAGAAAGACTGTATATATGGCCTGAGAGAAATGGAAGTAATGTTCCATGAGCCATTGATTCAACGCTCGTTACTAAGTTCAGACTCCACCAGGCCAGAGAACAGCCTGGCCCTAGGAGAACCTGCAGTCCAGCGGGTGAGGCAGGGCAGCGGCACAGCCCGTGCTCGGTTCAGTGAAGAAAGAAGACTGAAGTGGTCACGACGGTGGGCACTCATGCCTTCACTGTTGAAAGGATGATTCCGGAGGTGAAGTCTGCTTGGTTTGTGGCTCTGGGACCACTCTGGTCTGAGCACTCCTGAAATCACACCCACGAGCGTCTCTGCCCGGACATCGCTGCATTTGTGTTCTCTTTGGCAAAGGTTTTTGTTTCCAGACAGGACTTGGAGCTGGCTGAGGGGCCTTTCAGATGCGCTGCAGCACAAAGCCCCTAGATGGCGATGAAGAGGAAGTTGCAGAGAATCTCCTCATTGTCTATTCTCTATTCTCCATTTATTGCCCAGAGGAAAGTTACACTTCCTAAGACTGAGCGTTTGTTGTTGTTCTCCTGTTTGGGGCCAAGTGCACGAGGCGCTGGCTGCCTGGCTCTCAGGAACAGCAGCACCACACTGAGGCAGGGTGCGCTCCCCGCGCCTCCCAGCTCTGCCGTTCCAGTGAGGCCGTGTGAAAATCAAGAGACTCGGCATATATGAGCCTTTTGAAAGCTACAAAGTACTACCGAATCTCATGGCCGCGGCAGTCTTCCTGCTTGCTTTAGGATGGTATCTGAAGCTGCAGTGACCAGCACCACAGCTAGGTGTCAGCCGGGTTCCCGGGGAGGCTTCCTCACATCGGTAGGACAGGGAAGTGAAGTGTAGCTGGGCCCTTTTTCCCCTAAATCAGGCTGTCAGTGTACAGAGATTGACAGTATTTCTTCCCACGATGAGCCTGCCTGTGAGGAACAATGGTTCAAGTCAGTGTGGGTACTGACCAGCTCTCGGTGATGGGGAATAGCCACGCTCGTGCGACCAAAGACGGAAGCCAGCAGTAATCCAGATTTTCTTTTAATACACAGAATGTAGAAAGCTCTATTGGAGCCTTTCTGGAGCCTCAGGTACCTGCTCTCCTGTGTGAAACATCCGGTGTGGCACTGTCCTTAGCTCTTTGTTTCTTCCTTGTTTTTTTTTTTTTTCTTGTGCTGCTCGTAGAAGCCACTGTCCGTGACCAGTTAAACGGTGTCCCGGGTGGATTGGTCAGAGGCCCGGCACACAGCTGCCGGCTGACCAGCAACCGCTGTGTCACGCTGACAAACAAAACTAACGCCATGTCCACTAGTCCCGGAACAGCTCTTCAAAACAGACTCCTCTCTTTTCTGAAAACATCAGTGCAAAAAAAAGTCAACTGTTGCAGTAATGGTGTGTGTGTGTAAGTGTGTGTGACAATGCCATTATTGCTATCCTGTTCTCACCCCTAGATATTTAGTCCTTTTTAAAATGAATAAAGTCAGTGTCTAAATCCTGTAACTTGTCCAGGCGGCCAATCCCAGGTAGTTTGTGATTTTTACAACAATTCAGAAGTAGAGGGGAAAGAGTGCTGGGTTCTTCTTTTTCCCAAGTAGACCTTTCACTCCCTATGAAAGCCATTTTTAGAAGACATGCAGGCAACATTTGCTCACTGCAGGAACATTGTCCGGTAGGGAGGAGTCCCGCCCTGGCTGCAATGCAGGATGAGCCCGAGGCCCGTGGTGCGGCCTGCCCTCTGACGCCAAGGGCACCCTCCTCCGCCTGTCCCCTGTGCCTCTCTCCAGTTACTCACTTCCAGGTGTCATTTTCCCGGTTGCACCTGAACCGTGACTGAGCCCATTGACATTCCGTGCTGACTGACACGTTGTTCCTGAAAAGCACACCCTCCCTCATTCCCTTTTTCCCCACCAGCCGCTCTGAAGCGCCCTGTTTGTGAGGAAGGGGTGGCTGGACGCGGCCACACCCAGCCTTGTGCTCTTGTCTCTGTGTATTGTACCACATGTCGCCGTGTGGCCGTAGTTTCATACTGGCCGTTCTGTCATGAGACTGGGATTAACCTGCCTGCCCCCGTTCGATTCCTTTCCAGGTCCAACTGGCCCACCTTCAACACTCCCTCTAAGCACCCAGACCTCTATTGGCAGCTCCACCCTGTCCAAGAAGAGGCCTCCTCCCCCACCACCCGGACACAAGAGAACCCTGTCCGACCCTCCCAGCCCACTACCTCACGGGCCCCCAAACAAAGGCGCAGTTCCTTGGGGTAAGTCATGCCAAAGTCAGGGCCAGCGCTGCCCGGCAGGCGGCGCACGGGTTCCGTGGGCAGCGGACACAGTGACTCTGCAGGGGACAGGCAGCGCTGGCCGGCGGAGGGCTGGGTCGCTGCGAGTGTGCTGCCTCGTGAGGCCAAGAACCATTCTGGAAAAGAATCATCAGAGTCATTTACAAATGATACCAACAGTGAGGTTCCGAGCGTTTCCGGGCACCAGACAGGCTACGCCCTCCGCAGCACCCCGTTGGGTCCCGGCAGCAGCTCTGCGAGAGCCTGTTACCCGCTCACAGCTGAGGCCCAGCGGCTCGGCGAGCGGAGCGGCCGCCGCCTCGCGCCGACAGGGCGGTTTGCTTCAGTCCGGCTCAGGGCCTGGCCCGCCGTCCCGGCTCCATCCATGGCTGGGCTCCCTCAGTGCAGGGCTCGGGGCCCCGCGGGTCAGCTCCTCTCCCCCAACCCCTCTCCCAACACTGCTCCCCCACACTGGCCACCTCTCTCCTTGGGGTGCACAGGCTCTCTCCCGGCTGCCGCAGCTCTGCTGTGTCCTTCAGGAGGTGGCCTCCTCCTGCTCCTGTCCTCGTCAACTTGAGTGTTCGTCTTGGCCCTCACCCCATTCTCGGTTGCAGGCTCTTCGCACGGCGGGATTTCGTTTCTCTCTGGGGCTTTCGTCCCTCTAGAATGTAAGCTCCACGAGGGCAGGGACCGGTCTGTCCTGTTCTTTTGTTCTGTGTCTGCAGGGCCTAGAAAAGTCACTCGGGAATAAATAGGCCTCCCCTGAGTCGGTAGTTGTAACCGTTTCCGTGATGTTGGCTGGAAATGACCGATTTCCATCTTTATCTGCCCTCACTCCCTGCTAGGTAAAGGAAGGACCGGCCTCCGCCCTGCGCCCCGAGGGGCCTGGCCCGCACCAGAGGCAGAGGAGCTGCGTGACCGCGGCTTTTGTCTTGCGGTTTAACCTGTGGGCGGTTTAACAATGCTTTTGCACACCTCCTAAGAACTCTCTGGTGGGTGTTCTGGAGTTTTGGGGAAAAAGCCATTCCACCCACTAGCAGACTTCACCTGGCCGGCAGGCCACAGTGCGTGTGGCTATGTCTGTCTAGACTCTCATTCCCACGCTGTGTGCCTCTCACTCAGGCTTTCTCACGTCAAGGAGCTCATGGTCTAGTGGCGGGGGACAGACAGGCGAGCTGTCAAAGTAAAGATGCTGTTAGGTGGCAGGTGAACTCAGCGGTGTGGAGATGCTGAAAGACATGTTTCACCTAGCTGCGTGCGTGTTGGTGCCCAGGTGAGACCACCAGGGGAGGACGAGGAGGCTGGGCGGCCACACCTCAGGGTGTTAGTACCTGGAGGTTCTCAGAGGTTGTATCATAGGTATCCCCAGATACCACCCAAAAGGACTTCCCCCCAAGTAACATCCCACTGAGAGTCACTAGTGTCTTGTGCAAATTTTTGCCCCATCAGTCATAAACCAGCCTTTCCAGATAGCACTCGGCTTTGATCCTGTCTGGCCAGGCTGTAAGTCTGGGCTGATGTTCACCTCACAGACTCAGTCGGCAAGTAAATCTACCAAACTCCTGTTTTCTGGCTTCAGAAACACCACTGTCCTTAGACTGCTTCCATAGCACTCTGGGCGCACTAGCTGCGGGCGGGGGTCTTGTATTTATTTCTTGCTAAGGACAAAGCCCCACCTTGAGGATTAGCCGTGCCCACGGTGAGTTGGCGTCCGGCCTGTGGAGATGCTGGTGCGCTCACCAGCCAGCGCTCCCTGACAGCCAGCCTGCCCGCACAGAACTCAGACCTGGCCACAGCAAAAGTGACCGTTCTCCACATCCCCGGCAATGGTGGTCACTCCCAAACGGCCCCAGGGGTGGCGGGTCATCATCTTTCTGTGCTGGTGTGTGCATGTCCATGCTCACAGGCGTCTGGGCACCCAGGTCAGGGACAGGCACCTCGGTAGGCCGTGGGAGTCACGCTGGTGCTGGTGTTGAGGCTTCATGTTGGGTGATAGGTGGCTGCTTGGCTTTATCCAGAAACGAGGGGTGAGACTCCAGGCAATATTTCTCTGTGCTGCTGCAACTCCTGGGCCATCTGTCCAGTGCTCTTATCCTCCCCAGACGTCCATCTCTAGCCCGCCTCAGGTGAGGCCCTTTGCACTGCCCAGGAGCTGGCCCTGCACGAGGCTTGAAGAGCCAGAGACGCACGGGTGTTTCAGCTCTCCACCGTGGCACGGGCCGGGCTGCCAAATTGCATTCTGGCCGGTTCCAAATTGCATTCTTTTTTTTTTTTTTAAGATTTATTTATTCATACAGAACTGGGGTACAGGCCAGAGATGCGGAGGGTGAGAGGATTCACCAGAGACAGAGTAGAGAGCAGAACAGGCAGATCGACGAAGTCCACTGCTGAGGGGAGCAGCGGGCGGGTCAGGAGAGGTCTGCCACGCCATGTGGTCACCTCCGGGGCAGGCGGGAATCGAACTCATGCGGAAGCGGCTTAAGCTTCTCAGTGCAGTGCTTTAACCCGCTGCGCCACCAGGGAGGGCCAAGTTGCATTCTTTCTAAAATTTGATCCTTTGTGTGCAGTAGGGCTGCTGCCTACCCCAGGGCTTCACACCCTGTAGCCCAGGGCTCGCTCGCAGTGGTTCTGCTTGCTTCTCGGTCTTTCCCTGGCCATTGGGAACTCTGTCCAAGGGCATGTGCTCCAGGGTGGGCCTTGTGTCCTAAAACCCAGATTCCAGTCCAGCGTGCCCACTTGGTGGCTCGCAGCAACATCTCTGAATTGTTCTGTACCTCATTTTCCCCTGCTGTAAAATACAGTAGTCGTTAGTACCTCTGTTGTCATGGCTACTGTGAAGCGGCACCAGGAGAACCGCATGCAGCTCCAGGCCAGAACACAGAAAGCCCTCGATAAACTAGGCCTGGGCCTCGGGGCAGGCGTCGCTGAAACCCGCGTTCCCTTCCTAGCGCTGCCGCACAGCGCCGCTGCGGACAGGTGCAGGTGTGCAGAACCGTGTCTCCCCTCTGGAGGCTGTCGGCAACCCCGCGGCAGCCCTGTGCTCCCCGGGGGGCTGGAGAACCTGCTCCTGTCCGCGCGGCTCCAGGCGCCCTGGGGTGCCCCCTCTCTGTCCCCGAAGCCCCATCCGCCTGTCTCATTCAGGGACGCGTGTTGCAGGCAGTGGGTTATCGGGGTGATCACCGAAGGCCCTTTGTCAAAGTGGGGTCACATGCACAAGCTCCACGGGCTAGAATTTGGTATCTTTGCGATCTTGCTGTCTGCCCGCTGGCCCCCAGAATTCCTGTCCATCCCAGGTGAATTCATACACCTTACCCCAGCCCCCCCAAGTCTCAGCCCCCCGCCTCGGCCCTTCTCCTCCAGATGCCAGCTGTCACATCCCTGCCGGACATGCTGCCCGCCCCCCGCCCCCACTCTGCCTCGGGGTGCCTTCTCCGGGCTCAGAAGGAGAGTTGGGGCTGTGGTTATCAGCAGAGCTCACCCTAATTTGGTCTTTGAAAGGCAGTCTAGGTGAGCCTGTGGCCTCAAGGATCAAACTTAGGAGGTCGGCAAGACCGAGACTCCGCCAGAGCGTTCCCCTGCCCTCCACCCACCCCATGTCCACCTGCTCACGCGCTCTGTCCTTGGCACACTCGGGCACTGTGGGCCAGCTGTGGCCTCATGACCTGCCGTAGCCACACAGGCTTGCTCACTGGCCCGGAGGAGTGTCCGCCTGCGCCCCAACTTTCCGCCTCCCCTTCCTGCCCTGGCCTGAGGGACGAAGGTGCCCCTCAGCCTGCACAGATGGCAGCAGGGAGCCGCAATGTCTGGCTCCACTGACGGGGCCACTTTCCTGGGTGCCGGTGATCAGAGCTGCCCAGAGCCCCAGGCCGGCCTCGGGGACTCTCCTCGATGTAGAGAGCCCTGCCAGATGGTTCTGGTTAAAAACAAAACTTTCAGACTTAGGCTAATAAGTCAGTCTCCCCCAAAGCCAAAGGAGTAGGTGTCCATATCCCCTGTGCACGCCCAGGCTGGTGTGTCCGGCCCCGCTCCTGGGCGGCAGGGCCAAGCATGTTTGATCAGGGAGCGGGGCTCAGTTCACCTGTACATGGTGCAACAGGCAGGAGGCAGAACGGAGGTGACGGGTGCTGAGCCGGGCGGGGGAGAGACCGGAATCCTGAGTGCCTCTGCCTCGCAGAGGGCTGGCCCCGCCCTCCCAAGTCTGTCTTTCCATCTCCCAGCCTGCATTCTGTGGGCGCTTCAATTCTGGGCATAGCTTGGTGACTGGGAAGAAAAAAGCAAATGATGATCCATCGTTGTCCAAAGTCTCTAACTAGACAACTACCTTCTGCCCGCCCAAAGGTCAGTGCTGGCCAGTCCTGCACACTCTGCCCCCGCACGGTGTCAGCAATCGCACACTTCTCTTCCTCTGAGGAGCTTTAACTGAAGTTCCTGAGAGCAGGGCAGGGGGGGCGGGGGTGGGGGCCCCTGCTCAGCTTCTTGCAGCTGGTAAGTGGGGAGCCAGATTCACTTCCAGCCTGTGCAGTGGGGAGGGCCCCTGCTTCGCAGCCCCTGCGCCCTGTTCTCTGTTCGGTGACTCCATCGCCCTCCCCAGCTCCCACTGCAGTTGTTTCTCTGCCCACAAGCAGCAGGTAGGCCGTGCCTCCGGCCATCTGCAGCTCGGAGCCCTGGTGTGCGGGGAGGGCCGCTGTGGGCTCTTGCCTGACAGAACCACAGTGCCCACAGCCCCCAAAATAGCCCAGGCTTCCCATTCCTCAGGGCCTGCCCGATGCTGCCTCTGCCATCTGCCTCGGGAGGCGGGAGGCGGACGGGCCACCTGCAAGCAAACGGGCCTCTGGATACCTTCGGGGTTTGTGAAGTGGCACATCATTAAAGCTCACTTTGGAATATAGTGGTTTCTTCTTAGCCTACTTTACAGCAGACCAGCTCCTATTTTAAAGCAATTTAACATGAAGACATAAACATAACAAAGTAAGATGGCATTGAGGAATAGGATCTTTTCACAGAATTCCTAACAAATGGTCACATAGTGACTGAAAGCTGACTGCAGATTTGACACTGGGGTGCTTAGAAGCAGGAGCAAAGGAGAAAAAAATACAACTAACTACTTGGTTCACAGTGACTATAAGATTATCCATCTCGCTTCAGATTTTTGTAATTAATACCTGTAACAACTTCCCCCAGGACCTCCATCCTTGGATTCCATTTCCACAGCAAACATCATGGAACATTCTGGAAAGCCTAGTTCTGATCCCAGGTTTTACCCATTCCTACTTAGTGGCAGTATTCCTCATCTTTCCTTTGGCCACTGGGACTTAGATGTCTGAGCATCTCTAACATACACTAGATAATGCGCGAAAAACTATTCTACAAATTGATTCACTTCTCACATTTCAAGGCCGGAACTTCCAGGTAAAGGCTTACTGTTTGAAATGTCTGAGGTGTGCATATGTACCTTCTAGAAATTGTGTTGGCCTTTGGGTAATAATTTCCTGGTTTTTCTTGGATTTCCTGATAAATTTTCATGTCATCTTCTCTCAACCAGAACTTCATTTTGCATTCAGTTCTACCAGGCTGTCTCATGTGCTGGGCACCAAGCATTTATGCAAACGTCACTACGCTATGCGTCTTGTAAGCCACCACAAGTATCCTACAAGATAGGGCCTAGTTACCGATCAGGAAATTGAAGCACAGAGTTGTCAATGAGTTGCATCAGATCACAACATCAGATGACTTGGAGCTGGGCTTGGAGCCTGCTTCTGACTTCAGGGTTCACTCTGTGCCAGAAGACCGGGGCCTCCGTGCCACTGGGTCTGCACCCTCCTCACTGTCTGAGACTCTGCTGCAGCTTCTGAGCTGTGCTACGTGGCCTCGAGTCTTGGCCACAACTTCTTCAGCAGCTTGCCCGGCTTCTATCCCCAGCTCTCTCCCACACGTCCCTAAGCTACCCCAGAGTCCCCACCCAGATTGCATGGAGGAAGAAAAGGATGGAGCTGTTTCCATGTGTTAGCTCGTGCTCTCCACCCTCAGTTATTGTCCTGTTTTCAGAAATGTTTCTAAGCCACGCTTCCTGGCACTGCAGGGCGCCTGTGCCCACTGTGACAATGACAGGCTCCCCGTCTGCCTGACTGGAGGTGCCTGCCCCCACCCCCTCCCGCCCTCCCTAGATGTGAGCCATGAGCTATGGGTGGAAAAGCAGGCGAGTCAGCACAGCAGACCCCGCCTTTATTCCACAGGCACCTAGCAGCCGCTCTGGGCCTAAGACTGGGCTAGAAAGGGGGGTTCAAAGCTGAGCAGGCCGAGCCCTGTCTTCGAGATGCTCGCTCATTGAGTAATGAGCTGTGAATAATAATTGAGTCATTTCCACCTTGTGTCCTGCACCCTGGGGCCCAGCACTGAGCCCTCCACTCCAGTTTGGCTCCAGTGAGCTCTTACCCACCAGTGAGATCCACACTGGCGTTCCCATTCCCTGGATGAGGTGGCCGGGGCTGAGGAGAAGGAGCATGTGAGCCACACCCGCAGCCCTCTGCTTGCAGAATTCAGAGCCAGGCCTGCTGGCCCGGAGCTCCGTGCCCTCAGCCACTCCTCTGTGATGAATGGTTGTGGGCACACAGAGCAGAGGGAGGGAGTGGTCAAGTCCAGCTGGGGAAGAATCTCAGGAACTGGCTGTGGACATGTGCTCTGAGGACGGAGTAGGAATGCACCGTGAGCGGAAGAGGCCAGGCGTCGCAGGGAGACAGAACAGGGAGGGCAGCGATGCGGGGCGGGAACACAGTGGGAGCGTGGAGAGCAGCCTCGTGTGGCCAGAGAGCAGTGGTCCGTGGGGACTCTGGCCCTGTGGGCAGTGGTGTCCGTCAGTGACCACAGGCCTCATGGTCCATCTACGTGAGGGCCGTTGGGGCCCTTGGAGGCCTGCCATTGGCTCTCACGCACAGAGGGTCGAAGGTCACCGGCTTAGGATGCTTTCTACCTGGAAAGGGGATTGGCAGATGCGACAGATTATCCCCAAAACGTAGAACTTTCCTTTAGAGTCTCGCTGCTGTGGCTCACCTCCGCCTGGAAGTGTGAGTTTCACTGTGGCGTGCAGACTGAAGCCCCAGCAGAGCAGAGACGCTTGAAGGGAGTGGCAGCTCCTGGCTCTCAGACACTCTGGGGCAGGAAGGAGGGTCTCGTGAAAGAAAACAGCATCGGAGACTCTTTGACCCTAGTAGCGCCCAGCTAGCTGGCTGCTGCTTGCCTGAGCCTTCTGTCCGGGGACCATCTCAGCCCTCTGTCGGCCCGGCTCTGCCAATAAGCTGTGTCCCAGCTCTGACCCTCACCAGCTCCTTGACCTTGGGCAGTCACTTTACTTCAGTGTTTCTTCACGTAGGAAATGGAGGGCAGCTGTGCCCCGTGTCTCCTAACATGGTTTCTTCCTCAGCCCTGTCCTCCCACCTACTTCCAGTGCAGGAGCCTCAGCTCAGCTGCTGTGGGCCCCCAGGCGGGGCACACGGGGGTCTGCCGAAGCAGGAGGACTCTCGCGCCTCCAGAGCGTGGCTGGATCCCGGGGCTTTCCAGTGCCAGCAGCTTGAGGCCCAGCCTGTGCTGTGCTGCTGCAGGTGGTCTGGCTCCCAGCAGCCGCTGCTGTCTCCTGCCCAGTCTCTCTACCTTCCGGACAGCACGCACATGGCTGCTTTTGCTGCTCCCCGATGAGAAAGTGCTTTGCTGCCCCAGAGCGGACACTGCCCACCCCTCTCAGCAGTTAGGCTGCAGACGACACTTCGCCCGTGTTCACCGAAGCGGCCCGTTCTGCACACACTTTGCCCTCAGCTGTCAGTTGCCGCTGCAGCTCCTGCTCCACACCAGGCCTCGCACAGAGCAGATACTTGATAGATGTGCTGAAGGCTCAAGAGGGCCACGAGTAACGACAGTGGCCCAGGGCTTTGCCCAGCAGATAGCCAGGCACTACCAGCCCGCTGAACACTGGCCATGGCCACCTGTGGGCTGTGTGTTTCTTCTGTGTGATTCCCAGGGGTCAGCCGCTAGCTTGGGAACCTCTGGGCGAATCTGAGTTTCCTCCTCTTCCCCTGCCCCCAAGTGCAGGGGCAGCTCCGGGCCGCTCCGAGTCGAGCGGGACCTCTCCACGGGCCTGTGAGCAGAGCGGTTGCGCGTGGCCTTGACTTGTCCCTTTCATAGCAAGGAAAGCATCGTCAGAGCCCAGGATAGTACTTAACTTGACTTTGTTTTGTTTTGTTTTAATGTCAAGAATGCATGCTGCTCTGGCCTGAGTCTTTGAAGTGTTTTTCTAGCACCTGAGGGATCCCTTTCTGCCAAAGCCTGTGTCCTCCAATCCCGCTTGCCTGGCTCACGACGTCATTTCTCGCCTTTGCTTTTTCCCCGTAGGTAATGATGTGGGCCCATCATCTGCAAGTAAGACGGCAAACAAGTTTGAGGGGTTGTCTCAGCACTCAAGGTAAGCCCTGGGCTCCCTCCCACTGGCTTTCAGTTGCAATGGACAGAATTATAGAAGCGAGGGCAAGTTACTCCACGTGAGTCCTGCCCACTGGCACCCATGAGAAACTGAAAGTTTGCTCTGGGGGGCTGGTGCGCCTTTTGCCGAGCCGTGGTCAGCAGGCCTGGCCCGTGAGCCGCCATCCAGGCTACAGGAGGGACGGCCCAGGCTTCCCTGGTGATCGTGGGGTGTGTCTGAGTTTTTTTATTTTTAAGGTTTTATGATTGTCCCTCGTGATTCCTTTTTGCAGAGTTAGGAACGAAGCGGCTCCTCGGGGAAAACGAATAGCCCAGAAATTTTCAAACACAAAAATACAGCCTGCCCAGTTCCCAGTTTGTAAGGCTTTTCTTAGGCTAAGCTAAAAGCAGCCTTCCTTTCTTTCCTCCTCCCGCTGAAGGGGACCTGGGGGCAGTCTCCCGTGGGCAGCGTTTATCCAGGGCAGGCTCTTCTCCGGAGGTATGATCCCAGGACACCAAGAGCCACCCAGACCCAAAACTCCAGCAGTCAGCTGGCATGTGGGGGCCGCTTCCAGGGGTCCACACATCCAAACAGAATCCCCGTTTCTTTGAATGCCACCAGCTAACTTAACCTCTGACTGAGACAGACCCGGTCACGGGTGCCCTCACTTCCAGAGAGGACTCTGAGCCCCAGAGGGTCAGCGTGGCAGAGCTTCCAGACTGCACGTTCCCTCGTCTTCCTTCCTGATTTCGTCCTTCTTCAGCCGTGCTCTGGGGACTCTGAAACCTGAAATTCCCATGTGGAAGGTGCCCACCCAGTGTTCTTAAGTGGCATCCGGGCCCGTGCTCACAGCACGGACAGCAGTGGCGCCGTGTTCACCTCCTTAGGAGGAGGCCAGGTGCCCTCGGGCCGGCGTAGATCCAGGCCCGCCTCGGACGTAGGTCCAGGTCGTCTCTGAGTCCGGCCTCAGTGACCCGGTCAGAGGCGACCACCGAGCGCACATCAGGCACTGGCAGAAGATGCTGAGGCGCCCTGAGGAAAACACCCCAGAAAGGCCCGTGGCACAGCCTGTCATGTCCTCTGCTTCCAGGTTAGCGGAGGCTTTGTCTCGTGACCACGCCTCGGCCCCGGAGCCGTAGCCAAGGGAGCTGAGCAAAGGGTGTGAAGACCCAGCGACGTGGGCCTCACGCATGCTTCTCGTCGCCTTTGTTTTTGTTTAGGTGGTTTGGCTTATCCTTTTAAGTAAAATTAAGAGAATTAAAAAAAAAAAAACATCCTTAGGACATGAGAAGACAGTAGGAAAGATCAGACACTAAAAGGGGCATTTGCAAGACACGACTCGACGCAGCTGTGCTTGCTTTTTGGGCCTGAGACTAGCTACGGCCCCTCTTCAAGGAAAACAGGGCTCCCCGCTCATCAGCACCACTGCGCACTGACTGTCCAGCAGGGCCGGGGCCTGGACAGACTTCACCTCCTTGACCCGGCATTTCCTTCTCCGCCTGTGCAAGTCAGCCAGGACCAGCTGGCAGGCGAGTGTGGAGCGCTGAGGCCCAGGCCATTCGCTCTCCAGCGGCGGGGTGTCAGGGCTCTGGAGCAGCGCAGAAGTCCCAGGCCACCCCGACCAGCCTGGGCACCTCTCAGCCCTGAAGCTACACACCCCCAAGTCTCCTCCCCTGAGAGGGGGTGACGAGAGTCGGCGGGTAGCAAGAGGTCAGCTGCTCCCGTAGCTCTGGGGTCACCATCGCAGAGTGCCGGCTCTTTCCGAGCCCTGTCCCCCCTGGAAAGGGCTTCAGACGGAGGGGGAGGAATTGGTTGCTGATGTTGTGCTCCCTCTCTCCAGTCCCCCGCCAGCCACACAGGCTCTGAATTACGGGAAGTACACTATAATTTTTGCCAAAGAAACTTTGAAAAGGGTTTTCGATGATTGTGTTAACCTGCCGTGACTCTTGTCTGGACTTTGTTGACACTCTAGCACTTTTCAATCCTAAATGACTCTTGTCTGTCATTAGCACCAGTTCTGCGAAGACCGCCCTTGGCCCGAGAGTCCTTCCTAAACTACCTCAGAAAGGTAAGACTTCTCTTTTCCTGCGTAGGTGTGTTGGCAGGTCCCTTTCTCCTCAGCGGGGATGGTCTCTGCGTCTCTTCTGCCATGGATCTGCCTGCTGCCCGGGGAGTCCCTCGCACGTAACAGATGCCCAGTTAATATTCCTCAATGAGGAAAGACGTTGATAAAATCAGATTTCGTGGTTCGCAAAGCACCATAGTTTCCCTGAAAAGCACAGTGCTCTTTCAGAACCTTCATGCCAGGGGCCCCAGGTGCGAATCCTTCTCGCCTTCCAAACGTCAGCAGAGGCCCGCACACTGCAGCCGCCCTCTGCGGCCTCCCGCAGCCCGGGGCCCTCACCCGCCAGGTCTGGGAAGGGCGGGGGCTGTGCCCACACTTCCGAGAACCCCCGGCAAGAGGGCGGCAAAGATCCCCTGCCCCGGGGTGGCACCTGTGGGCAGAGCACAGCCCCTCCCGGCAAGTACAGGAACGCTGTGTGTGAGCGGCCGCTGCGCCCGTCCGGGCACTCGGCGCTCTGACCCAGCTTCTCACTGCACGCCCAGGCCCGCCCTCTCGCCACAGCAGAGGCGAGAGTGCCCCCTTCCTCGGCTGCAGTGCTTCAGCCTTCGCATTTGCTTCATCCCATCCTCACTTAGACATCGAGGCAGCAGGGCCTAAGTGGGGCACAGACTGAGGCTCGGCGGTGGGTGGCCACCCAGTGGGTTCTCAGCAAGACCTTGGCCCTTACCCGGTGAGGAAATCAAAGAAGGGCAGTGGGCAGGCAGCCCCTGGCCTAAGTCCTTCAGGTTGCCACAGTGCGGACGCGGCGACTGGCGGCCAGGCTCCCGGCAGGAGCAGGACAGGCTTCCCACTGGCTGCTGCTGCAGGCCCCGTAGAGCTCAGGCTGTTCAGGGCTGGGAAAGCCTGTGTGGCCAGAGCACCCTCACAGCCACCCCGTTTCCTCCTTGCCCAGGCAGCAGAGAGAGGACCACCTCCCGGGGGTAAACAGGCATGGGGGCGTCCAGGGGGTATTTGAGGGGATATTTGGGGGCGTCCAGGGGTTATTTGAGGCTCACAGCCTGAGAGCCAGGACTCGCCCCCCAGATCCAAAAGCCGTCTCTGGGCTGTGACCGCCATCCACTGCTTCTTTCCCTGTGTGTCCACGGGACAGAGCCAAGTAGGACAGGGCCCTCCCTGGTGGCACAGCGGGTTAAAGCACAGCACTCCGAAGCTGTCACACCAGTGCAGTACAAGTTCCATCCCCGGCCAGGGAGCTGACGTCTCCCACGGCGCGGCAGACCTCTCCTGACCCTCCCGCTGCTGCCCTCAGTAGTGGATTTCAGTGAGTCGGCCTGTTCTGCTCCCCGCTCTGTCTCTGCTGAATCCTTTCACCCCCACACCTCTGGCCGGCACCCCAATTCTGTATGCATAAGTAAATCCTGTTTAAAAAAAAAGCCAAGAAGGACATAAATCATAATATTAAAAATGGCTACATCTAGGTGGTAGGCTCATGGGAAATTTCAACTCTCCACTTCCCGATTTTCTGTCATTTTTTGCTTGATGTTTTTAATTGCGTGTGTTACTTTTTAAATGACAAACTGGCTCTGGCATCCCGTGGTTACGTCACTGGGACGGGCAGAAATCGTGGGTTGTGGTGTGCATGCCTTCCAGCCGCCCCTTACCTGTTAGAGGCAGGCCGGCCTCCGTGGCCTGGGCCTGACGGGCGCCTCCAGCCACTTCGAGTGGGTGCTCCCCACGGTGACTGAGGGGCCCGCGGCTCCTCCCGCCCTGTGCTGTGTGCACTGACCCTCTCTTTGGCATTGCTCCCACAGTGGCACTAAGGAAGACGGAAACCAGCCATCATCTCTCCCTAGACAAAGCCAATGCCCCGCCCGAACTCTTCCAGAAGTCATCACAGTTGGCCGAGCTGCCGCAAAAGCCGCCCCCTGGAGACCTGCCCCCCAAGCCCACAGAACTGGCTCCCAAACCCCAAATCGGAGACTTACCACCCAAGCCGGGAGAACTGCCCCCCAAGCCGCAGCTGGGCGACCTGCCACCCAAACCCCAGCTCTCAGACTTACCTCCCAAGCCGCAGATGAAGGACCTGCCCCCCAAACCGCCGCTGGGAGACCTGCTGGCCAAGGCCCCGCCCGGCGACGTCTCGCCCAAGGCTCAGCCGCCCGCGGACGCCCCTCAGAAGTCGCACCCGGCGGACCTCTCCCCAGGAGTGCCGTCCCGAGAGGCCGTCCAGAAGCAAGCCTCGGACGATGCCAACGACCTCACGCCCACCCTGCCGGAGATGCCCGTGCCACTGCCCAGGAAAATCAACACGGTGGGTGGCAGCGGCCCGAGGCTCCTCTCAGACACAGTGGCTGCCGGGATCGCTGTGCTCCCGGCAGCCACGCGCAGCCAGGTCCAGGTCGGAGCTCAGCTCGGCAGGTGGCCGCCTTGCCGGGGGCCTGGACCTGCCTTCCCCAGCTCCCCCTCAGGGGTCCCAGGTGCCGGGTCCGTGCCTCCCACTGCATCTTCCTGGAGGAACTGCAAGCAAAGCAATTTTCATAAAATGTCCTGTTGGCATACAGCTCTCCCTTTGGAAAAGCAGTGCTCTGGGAAGACGCAGGGTTGCTGCTGGCCCTGCCTCATCAAATCCTGCGGGACGCTCCCCGGGGCTGAGGAGCACAGCAAGTGGGGGCCCTCAGCCTCCCACTGAGCCTGTCACCTCTGCGCCCCCACTTGTACCGGGAACGCGGCATAGCAGTACAAGTGTGTCACTTCAGCACTAAAGAAGGGTGGGAAGAGCGAAGGCCTTGTTCCCAGGGTGGGTGACCCCCCGTGAGCAGGCGGCTGCCCTTGCTCGGGGTGAGGACCGGCTCCCTCCCGGGACCCCGCCCCACCGTGGCCTTGGCGTTGACGCGGGCAGAGTTCCAGTTCCTGTCGCTTCACGGTGCTTTGAGGCCCGTTGTGCCTCCGTCACCCTCACCCCTGGGCCCCTGCACCCCAGTCAGGGCTGAGAGCCCCGCTCACCCACCGCCGAGGGAAGGGAGCGGGGCCCTCCCGGTCGTGACTGAGGGTTGTGACTCTCTGAGGACAGAGAGGACGGGCGCCTCACCCATAAACTGGGGAAACAGCTCCCTTTTTCGAGTACTCAGTATCTCACGAGTTGGGGGCCAGAAACAGCCATCAAAGGAGATTTCTCTTGTGCCATCTTCTCATTTGCAAAACTTAAAAATCCAGCCAATGAAAGCCCAAGTCCAACTCATCAAAAATGAAAGCACCTTGGGGAACGGCCTAGAATCACGACTCTGCCCTGCCCCGCTGCCTCGCAGGTGCTGGCTGGGGCTCAGCCGGGGCACTGGGAGAGAGTCTGCGGCGTGCTGGGCTCTCGCGGGCTGCTCGTTGGCTTGACGTCACGTCTCCAGCGCCATTTTTAGACTCTGCTGTCATCCCTGCCAGCTGCTGGCGTGGGGGGTGGAGGCAGAGCGCTTCTCGGGTTGGGGCGCAGCCGGATCCGAGTCCCACCCACACTGCTTGCTCCCCATGGAGGGGAGCGGTCTCAGAGCAGTGCACGTGGGCCGCCCTGGAGGCCGCGCCTTCCCCCCACCGCTGAGGAAATCGAGGCTCAAGCACTGCCGAGTCAGCAGATCCTGCCAGCTCAAACCCAGTTTCTTTCTTTAAGGGGAAGAATAAAGTGAGGCGAGTGAAGACCATCTACGACTGCCAGGCAGACAACGACGATGAGCTGACCTTCATCGAGGGCGAAGTGATCGTGGTCACAGGGGAGGAGGACCAGGAGTGGTGGGTAGGTACCGGCGGCTGCAGGCGACAGCCCTGCCCACGTCCCTGCCCGGGCGGCGGTGGGGCTGCAAAACTGGGTCAGATAATTGGCGTTGGCACGTGCTGCACCCCGTCAGCACGCCGCAGCCTGAGCGCTGTCGCACCCTGATGTCTCGATGCGGGACCAAAGCTCAAGGCAGGTGAGCGTGCGGCTTTGGCCTTGGGCTCTAGCCTGGCAGAGGGAGATGCCAGGCTTCACCGGCCTGGCTTTGCTCGCCATGCCCGGCCTTCCTCAGACGCAGCCCCAATCCGCGGCAGTTCTCGCCTCATGGGTTTCTACACGAGTCCCGCTGCCCACGTCTGGAGGGGAGGGCACCCTTGCCCTCCCAGAGGCCCTGAGAAACGCCCCGTTCCCTGGCTGTCCCGGCGGCCTCAAGAGTGAACCTCCGGTGGGCACTGCCAGGCCGGAGGTCAGCAGATGGCCACCTCTGCGCTCTCCCTACTTGACAACCCCAGCATGGCAGCCTGGGGCCCTGCTGCCCAACGGGACCCCGTTCTGCCTGCCAGGAAAGGAGCTTTGGGTATATAGATGGGTCGGGAGAACCTCCGATGCCCAGAAACAACGCGCATCCACTCGCGTGCGTAGCCGCTGCCTTTGACGTCTTCCTCTGGTTGTGGACAGTCACTGCCCACTCTTGATCCAACGGTAGGGATTTGCTTGGACCGCAGGGGCAGTTCTCAGCTTGCGCAGTTTTGCCCTGCGGGGACCCTTGGCGACATCAGAGGACTTGGGAAGGTGGGTGCTGCCGGCCCCTGGGTAGTCACAGGGGTGCTGCAGACTTCCCACCACAAGGACTTTTAGCCCAGAACGTCAAGAGGGCGGAGTGGGAGCCTTGGGCCGTGGTGTGCGGAGGGGCGGCCGGTGGAGCTGCAGCCCCCGAGAGGGCTCCCCCCCCACCACCCCCTCCGGAGTCGGCCTGGGGCCGCGTGGCGCTGGCCGGGCCCGCAGACTGCGTCGCCACCGGCCCGGGCCTGGGCAAGCATGTGCTCTCGGCAAGCGGCTTTCCTCTGAGAGTCAGGCGCGGTCTCCTGCCTCCCGGGCAGCTGACACGCTCTTGGCAACGTGTCGTCAGGACCAAGCGGGAAGCGTATTTTTGGCGATAGCGCAGGCTCCTGAGAGGGGGGATGTTCGCCGGGGGTCTGCAGCATCACTCTCAGAGGTTGTGCTGTCCGCGTGTGTCCAGAGCAGACACAGAGGTTACCCCACACTCCCCGCTGTCCTGTGGGGTTCACAGAGCCCTCGCACAGGCCTGACTGCCAGCTAAGGCCACGTGAGGTAGGGAAGCCAGGTCGGCATGAACCCCACTTTCCAGATGGGAAGCGGGGCACGTGGCCAGGTGACCACCCTAGATCACAAACCTGGTTAACAAGGGACCCGCCTGGGCTGGACGCACCCCTCTCGCTCGGCCCACCCCCTCCGTGCCCTGGAGGGTGGTGACACTGACCCCGCTGCCCCGTCCACACTGAAGGCCACATGTCCCTGTGCATGTCATTGGAAGGCGATGAATAGTGATCGAGGCGGTTAGAAACGCCTCAGGTTACCACGACTCCCCGGCGGAGGCAGCAGCCTATACGGTTGCCAGGGGCCATGGTCACGCTCAGACTTTCCCAGGGCCCCTCCCCCACGCCAGCCAGACAGCCGCAGCAGCCAACCCAAGCACCTTCTGCATAAATACGATCGTGACCGTAATCGCACAGCCTGCCTGAGGAGAAGGGGGTTCGTTGGGACCCCTCTTGGCATCCAAGTTCTTCTGAGGCCACCCGGCAGGTAGGCGGGGAGGCCTCTGGTGAGGAGCGAGACCCCGGAGCCGGCACCTGTGGGAAACCAAGGCGGGTCCAGCTCTGGGCCACTACCCCTTCGCAGACTATGGAAGCGCCCTGCCTCGTGTGGCTGCCCTGCGGCCCAGCTGACGTTCTGTGCCGAGAGCTCTGAGCGTGTTGTTTGTTCCGTCATCAGTCAGCGCCTGTTGCTGGTTTCACACCCGACTGCTGTCCGCAGTTCACATGAGGACAGGAGGACAGGACGGGGCAGGCCGAGCCGGGCTCACCCGAGGGCTGGGGGCCGGCTCGCTGCAGCCTGACCGCTCTCCTTTCTCCCTACAGATCGGGCACATCGAAGGACAGCCCGAAAGGAAAGGGGTCTTCCCAGTGTCCTTCGTCCACATCCTGTCCGACTAGCAAAGCGCGGTCCTGGCGAGCACCCACACGCCCTTCGTGCAAGACTGCTGGCTCCACGTGACCTGTGCACGCCGTGTACATAGCTGCTGTTACAGGGGGAGAGACTCCCGGAGGGCGCCTCAGGAGGGGACGTAGTAGTGCTGTAAATACCCTGTGGTCTTCTGCCTTCACCAGTGTTAGGGCCGCCCGGGGGCCCGGCCGCCTTGCTGGTTAGCCAAAGCCACCCCTGGCGGCCAGCCCTGACATCTCTATCTACGCTGTTTTCCAAGCAAACAAACAGGAATATAGGAACTGCTGGCTTTGCAAATAGAAATGGTCTCCAGCATCCCCGAAAGGCATAAAATCGACTCTGTTCCCAACAATACAGTATTCGCCATTGTGTTACTGAAATGCACCCTTAGCAAAGAGGCAGGTTCTGTTCGGCAGGTGAAACCTTAGCTCCATGACAGCCCAGCCTGTAGTTAACATAGTTTACAGCTACAGAAACCTACCTTGGTCTATTTATTACAGAAAAGTGCTCAGTTAAATGTAAGTGTTAACTCCTTCAGCAAAATAGTCACTGACCCGGAACCTTGGGGGCATCTCATGCCCACAGCCTCAGCAGGTCTAGACCGGTGGGTGTAGACTGGTGGTGACGAGTGCCCGCCCCTGAGATGTTATTACCTCATTCTGCAGAAAACATATCCTTCATGACTATTTTGACAAAAATTTAAAACACATCTGATGAAGTTCAACTCCCAGGAACCAAGGACTGCCAGAAAATATTAGCCTCTACATTATGCATGCATTTAGAAGCTTACCTGAAATCTGCCTTTTATAAAGGAATAGTGTGGATAAGTTGAACTGTACAATTTTTAAACTTGATCGCCATTAAAGCAGAAATTATAAGGTTGCAACAATACTTGTTTCTAGTCAGTCATTTGGCTTTCTCAAGAGTGCGAACTTCCCTATATTATTATAGTATATTATGAATCGCATCCTTCACATGTTTTAAAGCAGCGAATGCATCCATTTAAAACTGTTTCCAGGGTTGTGTTCTTGGCTGAGTTTACGCTTTCGAAAGATGATTCCAGAAGATGACGAATGTACACATTATCTCCCCACTGTAGAATCAGGTGCTGAAACCACCCTCCATTTCCCGTGCCCCCATCCCTCCCGGTGGTAGAGACCTGGTCCAGCCGGAGGTGCCACTCAGCAGCCGCGTCCCCTCGAGCTGGTTCACCAGCACGGGTGAGAGCTGGCTGTGGGCCGCGCTCAGGGAGCCCCGCTGGCCTCTTCGGGCTGCGCGTTCACCCGGCGCGTGTCAGACCAGAGCACATCCTGGGCGCTTGGGTCTCTATCAGTCTCATTTCACCCCGCGGCCGGGGGCCGTTCTCTGAGGCGGGCTCTCAGGCTGGCATTACATTTGCTTAAACTGCTCCGTTGGCAGTGGCACAGAAACTCAGATTCTTAAGCAGATCATCTTGGCAATGAGGAAGAAATGTTCATTTCACAGAAGCACAACTCCCAACCAAACCCTTAGGAAGAGCCCTCTAGAAGAGTCGCAGTCCTTGGTGAATAGCCATTTAGTTCTGCTTACGCGACCGTTATGAAAACTAGGTACACCCTGCATGACAAACCTACACCACGTCTTACCAGCTGTTACTGGAAAGTGATGTTAAGCAATTGTTTCCTCAGTGTGACAGCCCGCGTGAGCCCCTCACTCCAGGCGCCTCCCTGGGCCCGCGCATGAAGCCACCAGGTGACTGGGAGTAATGGCCCCGGGGACAGTCACACATCTGCGTTGCATTGAAGAACTCTTCATTTGTGTGGCCTACAGTTTTTTCAACTGGTCTCAAAATAAACTGGCTTTGAAAATCAGAATGAAAACTCCGATGTCTAAAGTTACATGGCGTCGTCCTCAGCCTTTTCCCCTCTAGCAGCCACTTACACAGATGCATTGTTGATTTTTTTTTTTTCCTGGTTTGGTTTTGTTTCCATCAGGAACTTGACTTTGTTCTGATCCAGCTTACTACGGGATTTAGGAAAACTAGGTATAAATACCTTTGGTGATCTTGGTTGAGTTTAAATCTGATATTGTTCTTAACCTCAGTGAGCCACGCTCTGCAATTTTGTACATGATATATAGTATTTTGAAGCTATGGAATCTTATTAAAAAAAAATAGCTAATTCTTTTTTCCCCAGAGGGAAAAGTTATGTTCTGCAAATAGCGTATGTCTTATTTTTCCTGTTGAACAGCAATTGCTATTTATTTTTTTATCGCCTAGAACCTCCGCGTGCTGTGGAGGGAGCCCGTAGCACCGCTAGGTCACCGCACGTCCTCTGGATGTTAGTCAAACACCAACACGCTGTCCTCTCACATGTGTTTAATGTGACGGTCTCTCAGTACTGTGTGTGTTAATTTCTACTTTTTTTAATATTTAAAATTGCTTTTAAATAAACATATTCTCAGTTGATCCCAAACATTTGAAATCGGGCCTTTTTGTGAGTTGTCCACAACTCTTCTGGTTGGAAAAAAATCACTTCACTCGGCTGTGCTTTGGCGGGGGGGGGGGTGAGGGTGAGGGGGCGCGCAGGGCGGCATGTGTATGTAACACACCACTCCGGCTGCATGAAAATGTGCCTCGCTTTTCTCAGCTTCAAAAAACGACCTCAGCATCTGGGGAAGCGCAAGCCTCTCAGCCTGACAGAGCTTGAAAAGGAAGCGCTGAAAGCAGCTGCATGGCCAGGGCATGATGTTTGGGAGCAAGCGAGCTCGTCGGGGGTCCAGCGGAGGGCCCCGGCTCTGTGGCCAGTCTCAGGCTGTGTCCCGCCCGCAGGACGCAGTTCCAGCCAGAGCAGCCGCTGATGCTGGCCACACTGGCAGCCCTGAAGCAGCGAGTTGGTGCGTCCCTTATTGCCTTTCGTGGAAGCTTGTGGGTCTGTGCCTGTTTGCACACCTAAAGAGACGGGTTCTGCAGAGAGGCTGGGCTCTGGTTTGGAAGCCAGTGGCTGTCCAGGGATTTATCAGAGAGGTAACGTGGATCTGGCCACGGAGGGGCAGCCAGCGACCATCCATCCTAGGATTCTTGTGTGGGTTATGTGTGATTTAGAACCTGGACAATGTCTGGAATGGATGGAGTTGCCCTGCTCAAGGGGCCCCCCAGTGCACGGGGAGTCCTGGCTGCCCAGTCTTCCTGGACTCTGGTCTCTCCACTCCTTGGAGCACGGAGCTGGACCATCCTTTTGATGCTGAGGCAGAATCCCTCCCTGGGCTCATCGTGAGATGAAGGCCTCTCACAGCCGAAGTGACCTGCTCGAGGCCACAGTAATGGCTGACAGCAGTGCGAGCCCATCGTGCCTGAGCCTTGGCCTTCCCCTCCTGCCACTGCTAATTCACTAGCCTAGACTGCTGTCCACCGGTCCTAGAGGCTCCCCACTCCTGGAGTAGTATGTCGGGGTGGCGGTGATGGTTATAGGACATTTCAACTCTGACACTTGGTCCTCCTCCATCCTGTGTTCTCATCACCCTCATGGAAAGCTGACTTCCCCATCTGCAGTCTGTAGAGAACTGGGGGCTTGGGGCTTCCCGTGTCCAGAATGCTGGGGGAGAATGTCCTTCCCACAAGAGGAGAAGAGCCACGTACCAACTGCGTCCCCCTCACCAGCAGCACAGTTGATGGCGAGTCAGCTCAGCCACCTCCCCTTACCCTAAACGTCCAACGCTGGTGATTCCATATTCCTTGTGTCAAGGGGATGCCATCTTGGGTTGCCAAGATGGCTCCACACTTTCCCTGAAGAGCTGGCAGGAGAGAGAGGGAGGGCAGAGGTATATCTGATGCTGGGGACCCTCTCCCCAGGAAGGAAGGCCTGAGCTCATCGTGGAGGCTTGCAGGATGAGCCAGCCTGCGCAAAAGTTGCTGGGACTGTGTCTGGCACCCCTAAAACAGTGGGGGCCAGTGGGAAGAAGGGACCCAGGCTGAAGATAGAGGCGGGACCAAGGGTGCCCCAGCCTTGTGGACGTCACTTCCTGTACTGCTAACAGCCAGCCCACAAGCTCCCGACTGAGTGCTTATCAGCACCATCGTGTTCATCTCAGCAGCCTCCAAAGCAGAATTATTTCCCCCACTACAGATTAGAAGGCTGATGCTCAGGGAACTTAAATTGAACTTGGTAAGTCGCTCAAGGGCAGGGTTCAGACAGACCAGAGGTCAGGCCTCGAAGCAGGACCCAATGCTGCCTCTTTGTGGCCAATGCACTCCCCAGCTAAAAGAAGCTGGGTCTCAGTAGGCCTGCCCTGCCTTCCAGAGAGGTCGGCCAACCAGGGAGGTGTGACCCAGGGCACACAATGCAATTCAGAGGCATGGCCACATGGGCCAGAAGGACCTGCAAGAAGTCTTCTTCAGCAGCTGCCTGTGCTTGGGAGGTAGAGGCTTGCTGGCATGCGTGTCCATGCAGGCAACATGTGAAGAAAGCAGTGACGACATGGGTATCTGAGCTCTGCAACCACTGTGCAAAAGCTGTGAAACCTTAAGCTCCTGAAAACAGGAATTAAAGCTCAGATAAATACAGCTGTTTTGCAAAAATCTTACCACACAGCCAACCCTAGCAAAGGTTCAGGGCATAAAACAGGGCCTCTGCAAAGTCACAGGGAAGGCTTTGTCCATCTTCACACACTTGCCAACAAAGTTAACATGTTCATGCTTGAAAATACAAGAAGCTCTAAAGAGATGGCAAAGGCGTCTACCCACTGGCCTGAAGATGTGCCTGCCAGGCCTTTGGGTTTTGACCAACATCCTTTGTGGTCTTCAGTATTCAAATCAGATATCTGGGCCCCAATCTTAGGAGCTCGGGGTCACGATGAGTTGCAGGAGGGGCCTGGGCATCTGCATTAATCAGCTTCCCATGTATGAAGGGCTGGGAGCCAGGACTGGTCCTTCTTCCCCCACTCTCAAAAATGACAAGAACTTTCCAATCTCACCTCTCACCATGTAAGTGAGAAATCAGACCAGAGCGCTCAATGCTTGACATGTCCTGGGCGATCCGTTGATACTTCTTGAATGGGTGAGCACATGAAACCATCTGGCCAAAGTAACTACAAGGGCATCCACTACTGAAAAGGGGCTCACGCTCACAGGGCGAGCATCGTGCTTTCTAAGGCCTTGGGGAACCCCTACCCCAACAAGGGTCCCAGCCGGGGAGCCTCTGCCCCCGTGTTTGCTCTCCCCACTTGCATTTTGTATTGCTGACTGCAGCCCAGTAAACAGGCTGCTGGACAATGGGGCTCTTCATGGGGCCCCAAGCTGCAGAACAAAGATTCACAAACATACATTGTCTGGATGTGCAGCTTAGTTCCTGCTCAGCTGGAACCGCTTCGAAAACTCAGACACCAGGACTCCCCTGGCTTGCTTCACCTCTGGATACCAGTCGACTGCTTCTCTCTGGAGCTCAGTCTGTGACTCTGCCACTGTAAGAAAATTCTAGAGCTGATGAGCAGCAAGTACAGCCAGCTTTTCCTGCTGTCCTTCCAATTCATGCCAGTGGCTTTGGGTTCACTTCCCACCTAAAGCCAAGGCCTTGTCTGGCCTGTGCCAAAGTGGAAGGGGCTGCCTGGAACTGGCTTATGGAGAAAGGGCAGTGAAGGGAGTGGGGGTGAGGGTGGAGGTGGGAGTGGAGAGTAGCAGAGGATGGGAAAGAGCAGAGGGGACTCCTTCGGCAGAAGCTGAACACTGGCCCCAGGTAGAGCTGACCGGGTAGACACAGCCTGTGGCAGGACCGTGCAGAGAAAAGACCCGTAAACTGCCCAGACAGAGGCAGCAGCAGAATGGCTTCGTCCAGCAGGTGCTCCACACAGAGCACACAGGTGCCGGAAGGCACGCACATCAACAGGGACGGAGTGTCCAGCCTGAGTGCAAGAAGCCAGACTCAATGAGTTCACCTTTGAGTCAACTTCATATACAAAAAAGGCAGCTCATGTGGGTAGGAAGGCAGAATTGTGGCTTCCCAAAGAGAAACCAGAAGGGGCCACTGCACTGGGGGAGGGACCCCAGGGTGCAGAGGCTGGGTGCTCTTTCTTTCTCTGGGTGCTGGTCACATAGGTCTGTTCTGTTTGTGAAAGTGCATTCAGCTGTTCCCTTTGGGAATGTGCAGTTCTGTGCCTGAGTTGTTCCCAGAGGCTTGTTGGTAATTATGTAACCGGCTGTCAAGAGCCCTTATTTGTAACATTGATAACACTGGCCAATTCCTGTGGTGTAAATATTTCCATCCGACTGATTACAGCGGCAGTGTGATGCTGAGGTGGGGAAAGCCCGTTTTTGCAAGATGGATGGACTCCGGTGGACTCTAACTCTGATCACACATCAACAAAAGACGGTTGATAGTGTAGATTGGTATAGACACTCTAAAAACTAGTTCTTCAAAAGATTAAAAATAGAACTGTGCTATGACTCATAATCCGACTTCTGGATATTTTCCCAAAGAACATGAAAACTCTAAAAAAGAATGCACTCCCCTGTTTGCTGCTTCCAGTCGCCACAGCCAACCTGTAGAAGCAACCCAGTGCACGTCTGCAGGTAAAGGAACTATAGGTAAACACAGTGGAGTACTACTCAGCCGTAAACATGATGTCTTGCCACTTACAACAGTATAGATGGGCCTTGAGGGGATTCTGCTCAATTAAATAAATCGGAATGAGGAATAACAAGTACTTCACTGGCTTGTGGATTATCAACAAAAGAAAGCCTTTGGCTATGTAAGAAGACTGGTTCCTAGAGGGGAAGGAAGGGTCCAGGGGGAAGCTTAGTGGTAGTGGGTGGTGATTAGATATTGGGTGGTGGGCATCCTGCTAACAACACCATTCACCAACCTTCCCATCTCCCTATACTCTTTTTTATGTGTTTCCTACCAAAGGCTTATCAAGATATAAACCATAACCATATAATTCAAATACTTAAAGCCCACATTTCAGTGGTTTGTAGTAGATTTACAGAGTTACGCTGTCAGCACCACAATCAATTTGAGGGCATTTCATCACCCCAGAACACAACCCCAAACAGTCTCTCCCCTCGCCCGCCCCTTCCCCTGATTACCACTGTCTCTAGGTTTTTCTCCTTTGGAAATGTCATATAAATGGAATCGTCCATGATTCCACAGTGGTTTCTCTTACCTGACATGTTTTCAAGATTTTTCCTTCTTGTTGCCTGTAGAGTACTTCATTTCTCTTTATCGCCAAGTAATACTCCATTGTAAGGATGTTTCCTTGTGTTCCTCCACTTGTCAAGGTTTGGGTTGTTTTCACTGTGTTGATTGTTGTGAACAGCCCGGCCGGAGCGTTGGTGTGGAGGTTTTTGCTTGGACATGTGCACACTTCCTAGAACTGCTGGGTCACAGGTAAATCTGTAACCACCTGAGGAACTACCAGTCTGGCCAAAGCTGCATGTCCACCTCCCTGGCGTGTTTGGTTGCAGTCTCTCCACA